TTTACTATTTTTTAAAAATGATAGGTCATTTTTTGGTCAAATTTAGACATAATTAATTAGTTTCCTTTAATAGTAATTTTTTTTAATTACTTACTACTTGACGGGAAATTCACGATAATTCACGGGAAAAGCGGCGCGGATTTTTTGGGGTAAAAATTGATTTTTTTTTAGTTACTTAATGACGGAAAATAAAGGCTTCCAATGTTAATGACTAAACAAATTTTTAATATAACGAATTCCGGTTTACTAGGATATGATCTATAACTATTTAGTAAGAAAATAGAAAGAAAATTTGATTGTACACAATTTTTCGATTTACAATCTATATCACTTAAAATACAAAAACATAAATTAAAAGATTCAAATTTTTTGAAAAAATTTTAACCAAGCACATTTTTTCAATATTGGATCACTTATAATACAACATAAATTAAATGTTTCAAAAATTTTGTCGCTACTGGTATTTATCATAAATTTTCATGGTCACAATTTTTTTTTTCTCTTATCGAAAACTTAATAATAATAAGAAAATTAAAATTAGTTGATACATATCAGGTTATCTATAAAAGGAGAGTTATATTATAAGGAGAGTTATGTTGTGTTAATTTTGATAAAATTTATTAACATTGTGTTCAGTTATATGATCTAATCTTAGGTAAATAATTAGGTTGGATTTCATTTCTTTCGAACATATAATATTTGACATTAAATTAGAGAGGTGATCTAAATAAATTTTAATAGTTAATTATTTATACTATGTTCAATTTATTGTAAAAAATAAACTTTTATATTACTTTATTCATTACCTATTATTTTTGTTAATTGCATCCTCTATATCTTTTCATTGAAATTCGGATTTTGTTATAATATAAAAATAAGTTTTTATTTTTGGTTTTGATTATGGAGAGATTCTGATACACAATTCATTTGTAACGTTTTCACTATTTTTTAGGTAAATATTTGATTTATACGGTTTGTTTAAAAAATTTAATTTAATATTCAATTTTTATTTTTGGTTTTGCTTTCGGACAAATTTTGATATACGATCCATTTTAATGTTATCGTTGTTTTTATGGTAAAGATCTAATTTACACAGTTTGTTTAAAAAAAATAATGTAATATTCAATTTTTATTTTTGGTTTTGCTTTCGGACAAATTATGATATACGATCCATTTTTAATGTTATCGTTGTTTCTATGGTAAAGTCTAATCTACACTGTTTGTTTAAAAATCTTAATTTAATATATTCCCTTTGTACCGATAAAGATAATATTTTATCACGTCAATATAAATTATCACATTAACTACATATTACACAAACTAGATCTTTTGTGGAGTGCAACAAAATTAATTAAAAGATTACATGTCCATTCTATGTATACATTACAATGATATAAATCATAAAAAAAAATGTTAAAATAAATAGATAATCAAAAATCTATTATTTACAACAACAATTTTATAGATCTTGATTTAATATTTTTCATTCTATTCGATTGAATAATTTATCACGTCAATACATATTATCACAATAAATACAAATTGGACAAACTAAATCACTTATGGAACTTAACAAAAGAATTTAAAATATTACATTTCCATTCGATGCATAAAATGACTGATATAGTAAACAATATATCCACAAAATCGACATTATAAGGTAATTGTATTTTGAAATTGTCATAAAACTAGCATTTTCACGAGATAAACATAGTCTTTGTTATCTATCACATCAATTTCCAATATTCAAACTAATGTTTCCATATTTTCTTAATGTTACAAGATATGTGTTACTCTTAAAAACGAGTGTGGGGATTATAAATATCCTATCACAACCATACAGAAAAGTACCTTATAGAACATATATATGTATGTATATATATATATATATATATATTTCATCACTAAAGCTTTATAATGTTTATTACTTATTGATTCATATAATTCAATTTAAAATATTTCACAAAATAATTACAGTCCGTGCATCGCACGGGGTACGTACTAGTAGTATATGAAATTGATTTGCTCATTTTCTTCTTAATCTCATGTGTTTTTAGAAAATATTTTTTACAATAGTAAGTTAAATATTTAATTTAAAAATTCAAAGTTACATTTATGTATTTTTCTAACATTTTTTTATATTAGTATAGATATAGATATATATATATCTATATATATATAATTGCTGGCTAATGAGCATTTATAAAACCTATTAAATTATACCTATGTGGAAATATAAATTTTTCCCTCAAAAAACCGTTACTTTTTATATATTTAACCTCTCATTTAATTATTAAATAATCAACACACTAATCACTTCAAAATTACAAATATCATTTTAAATTTTTCATTTACTTACAACTGATCATATAATGTATTGACTATTTAATGTGATTAGATGTTATTATTGTGGTTACATTTAAATTAACTTCTTTTGAAAAATAAAAAACGTATTTGAAATTCCCAAATAAATAATAAATAATTTCATAAAAAAAGATACATATCAAAATATACATTACATCCAATATGATAAACACAATTTAGAAAAATAAATATTTCAGCTCATTTAATTGTAAATTTAGCAAAAATTATTAATTATTATATGAATACAAATAACTCACAATACTTTATTTATATATGTGCAAATGCACAGGTCGAATACTAGTTAATATTTATGGACAAATATGGATGAGATATTTTTGTTCTAGCAAGTGTAACGACAAAATTGATTTTTAAAAAATAAGGTAGATATAATAAGTTGAAAAAAAAAAGAAAATAATAATTATTCCTCCCATACCGTTCAGTCTGTCATTACTCAGTCGATATAATTCCTCTCGTCCACGTTCACTCTATCCTCACACAGACGCACTCAGAAACACACACTGAAGATCAATCAATGGCGTCCACTTTCCAGCTGAAACCCCTATCCTTTTCCCTAGTCGTCGCAGGGTCATCGG